TATTGAAAAAAATTCCTAACTTCTTATTACCCAACTCAAAATTCAGGATGTGCTGAAAGAAGTTTGATACCGATTTTGCCTGATACAATTACAATATAAGGAAAAAGCATATGAAATATGTAAATGAACATGAAGAAATTTTTAATACCATGTTTGAAAACTGAACTGTACTACTTTAATCAATAGAAATCAAATATCTTCCAGGACAAAAATAAGATTGACTTCACTAATGGCGTGCGCTTCTATTTATTGGCTTCGGTTTAACAGTACTTATCACATAAAAAATCACCCTTCATAAACTCCTTGAACATCATTTTGAGTTCCTCTTTCAGTTTCTTCCATGTTTTATTTTTTTTTTTTTTATTTTAGTTCTATTTGCGCAATTTCCGTTTCAAATTTAAACTATTGATTTTCATGACTTTACAATTTTTGTTCTACAAAATGCAGACACAGAAAACCCAAATGAAAAAACCTCATATAGAGCACAAAAAAAAAAATATACCGGAAAAACTAGAAAGAAAAACGCAGATAAAGAAGCGAAGAACACACATGGAATATGTTGAAAAAGTTCTTTACTCTTTACTTTTATGCTTCCACCGCATTCCCATTTAATCGCACTTGTACGCTCAGAAGTCTCCTGCCGTTGGCACAAATGTCGTCTGTAATTTGGAGCAGTTTTAGTGACATACTAAATTGGCTTTTATCTTGGAGGTAAATGCCGGAAATGGACTTCGACGAGTGCGGCTGTCAAGGACATGATGGCAAAGAATATGTACATTTCTCGTGTCCAATTACATGAAATGAAAGCACTTTTCATGAAATTTCTCTCCTAACAATAAGTGAAATTGGGTAAAAGTATTGTTAAATGGTAGAATTGATAGTAAATATAAAATCCATCCAACAATTTTCATAACTCACCAAGTTAAATACCTGAAAAAATGAAAAAAATAAAATAAATAAAATAAAAACTCTTTTTTATTGAAAATGTCATAAAAAATGCAAATAAAATTTATGAGTTGAGTTTTTAATATGAATGGATATTGTAGGAAAATAATATTATTTTTTTGTGATTATTGCTGAATTCCCTAATTCAGTTTAATTTAAAAGTTTTTATATTCATATCGAAGTGAGATTAATTTTATTTATTAATGTATTTTTTTATTCAGTACTTTTATATTTTTATTCATAAAGGAAAATGTTAATAATATTCTAATTAAATATCAAGTTATTTTTTAAAATGAAATATCTTTTGTATATTATTATGTTGAGGCTAGTGAAGTCAGTGCATTTGAGCACTTTTACTCAGTATTAACAGCCAGGTTTCTTCATAACCCCTCTCTACGCCTTAATTATTGTTTATCACTTCATCAGACTAAACAATAATTGACCTCAGATCTGCATACTTCATAACCCCTCTCTACGCCTTGATTATTGTTTATTACTTCATCAGACTAAACAATAATTGACCTCAGGTCTGCATACCTCCCCGAGAAGCCTGTAACCGTTCTGAGATTCGATACCGTGGTGTTGGTGAGCCCGTCAGTTTTCGTGATTTATAACCTTTTGAGAATAACTGTGTTAGATTTGCTGCGGAATAACAGAGTGTTGTGCTAGCAGAATAAAACTTTTCTTACCTGATTGTTCGAGTTACTTACAAACATGTGATTGAAGTCTACTAAAAAATGTTTGATATCTTGATACTATAAATATACTTTTCTATGAACGATCTAATAATGTATAGATACATAGCTAGTAGCTTGTCCCCTGAAACTTCACTTATTAGAAAATAAGCACAAAAAATTTCCAAGTAATGTTATATCTATTTTATAGCCTATATATGTTAATGCACATATGCACTTTTACAATTCATTATACAATATACCAGAGATGCATGGAGCATATTAAATTCATCATATAGTTTATTATTCCCTAATTTGTGATTCCTATTAAAAACAAAAATATCATAGTGGTCCTTTGTTAAAAAAAGCTTGGGAACCACTGATCTACACTAACAATATCTGAGTATAATTTCTATTTAGTTGAAAAGCTTTTGTGAACTTTGTTTATTATGGTCAATAAGTTATGATCATCATTATTTTATTATAGACATTCATTATAGACGAGAAGAACAAAAATTTTCCTATTTAGATACTAAATTAATAAAAATATTACGAACATTAACTTTTATATGTATAATAATCTATTTCGATAGGTAAAACGGTAACCTCCGTCACATTCATTCCAACAAAATCATTCTATCAAAAATATAATATTATAAGAATTCCATAAACAAATACCTGGTACTTGCAGTCTCAAAAATAATTATTTACGAATAATTAAATATAAGAATTATTTCCAAGACCACTAATGAAGGGTATTTGGCAATATTCGAAACAGCTGTATGGTCAGCCAAAAATTCAATTAATTAAAATAATTTAAAAAATAAATTTTTGTTGTTGTTTCACTTCTGTTCGAAAACGTCTTTATATAAACAAATACTGAAAAAATGAAATGAACTAAAGAAGAAATAATATGACGAAATATATTTAAAAAAAAACAACTATCTTTAAAAAAATTATCATAAAATTGTTTTATAAACAATTGTCCTGTAAATAATTGTTATGTAAATAACTGTTCTATAAACTAACCATTTACAAGGAATCTTGCGAAAATAAAGTCTAATAGATTTAGTTCATATTTAATATATAAACTATTAATGGTATTTGTTGATTTTATACGGCATCTTTCATTCCTATTGAAAGCTTAAGTACATTGTGACCGAAAAGTTTCCGGAAATTTTAAATAAAACGCAAAATTCTTAATCTTCATCAATATTTATTTTATCTCCTTCAAAATATGCTCCATTAGAAGCGATACACAAATGCCAACGTTTCTTCCAATCATCAAAACATTTTTTATAGGCGCTTTCCGGTATGGCTTTGAGTTTCCTCTGCGAATTCTGTTTTACGTCTTCTATGGATTCAAAACGCGTTCCTCTGAGTGGTAATTTGAGTTTGGGAAACAGGAAAAAGTCACACGGTGCAAGATCAGGTGAATACGGGGGCTGTTCGATGGTATTTATTGAATGTTTGGCCTTAAAATCGTTGATAATGTTGGCTCGGTGCGAGGGAGCATTATCGTCATGAAAAATCCATGAATTATCCTTCCACAATTGAGGCCGTTTACGGCGGATATTTTCACGCAAACGTCTTAAAACAGTCAAATAATAGGCTTTATTGACTGTTTGTCCTTCAGGGACGAATTCATGATGCACCACACCACGAATATCGAAGAAAACAATCAGCATTGCCTTGATTTTCGAGCGACTTTGGCGTGGTTTTTTCGGTTTCGGCTCGTCTTTTCCTCTCCATTCCGATGATTGTTGGCTTGTTTGCATGTCGTACTCGTAGACCCATGTCTCGTCACCCGTTATGATGCGTTCCATGAAAGTTGGATCGGAATTGGCACGATCAAGCATGTCTAACGAGACCTGTCCACGATGGTGTTTTTGGAACAAATTGAGGTGAATCGGAAAAAGCCGAGCGTTGACACGTCGCATACACAAATTGTCCACCAAAATCAAACGAGCCATCTCACGACCGATGCCTAGCTCTCGTGCTATCTCTCTAACACTCACATGAGGATTTTTGAACACGATTTCCTTTGCCTTTTCAATGTTTTCGTCGGTGGTAGAGGTCGAAGGTCGTCCAGAACGCGGCATGTCTTCGACGGTCGTACGACAGTCCTGAAAGGCTTTGTACCACTCATAAACTTGAGTTTTCGATAAAACTGATTCCCCATAAGCCTTTTGTAGCATTCGCAACGATTCTGCACACGAAAATTCGTTCGAAACACAAAATTTGATGCAAACTCTTTGATCAATTTTTTTTTCCATTTTTTTTTTCGCAACGCACTACTGAGGTGAACTGGTTTCAACAGCTGCCGTAAACGAACTGTCTGACAGATCGCGCTCATTTTTGGCATAGTAATTAAGGACAGTGCTGCCAAACTACATAAACTTAAAATATCGAAAAATATACAGCGCGCGAATTTTAAATGAGAATTTCCGAAAACTTTTCGGTCACAATGTATTGATTGATATTTCCTTTTCCTCAAAAGATTTCAATGAAAGATTCTAATATTCTATATATTCTATAGATTCTTATTATACATTACGCATTAGTTGGGCACATTCTTCTAGCATTAATAGCACCAATACCGATGATTAATCTCTACTAAACTTATTACTATCATATCGGTACAGCTTTAGTAATGATGGATCTATTATATACGACAATGGATCAGTGTCCCAATTTGACTCTAAGTTTTACCAAAAGTAACTCTTGCAGGCGTAGCAAGCTTCTCTTCAGTTTATATGTTACGATTGTTTGATGACGGTTTTTGTTTAGTATTATTATTAAATATTCAATTTAATTTCATTATTATTCCTAAATAATTATATTTTTGCCTAAGAATCTTAATTATGAAACATGGATTTTTCCATTTGTTTATAGATTGTCTATTTTTATGTGGTCACTATGTAATATATTGTATCATAAAAATTGTTTGATTGTTATAATCTATACTAAAAGGGAATCTCCTAGTATCTCCCAGTGTAAACAATAAATTAAATTTCTCTTGTGCATAACAGAGAATCTATTTCGAATATAAAATAGAGGTTATAGTTAAAAAACACCAAAGTTGGAAATTTAATAACAAAATTATTTTTTAATTAAGTTATGATTCAATTTGATTTAATTTTATGATAAATGTGTTTATTTATATATTAAATAATTTTAATTTTAAAAGATTTTACTGATAATTAGCACTTTTTGCTAAAGAAGTAAAACTTTATTGGAAGTTAGAAGAGGTAATAAAAGAAATCGCCTT